ACACACACACACACACACACACACACACACACACACATATAGACACCTATGGTCAGGTCCTCAGGCAGCACTGCGTTGAAATCAGACATAAGATAAGACAACCTTTATTAGTCCCACACATGGGAAATTTGTTATGATTCTGTTATGGAAATCAGTGTCTGTGAACACAGCTCACTGTGCCATCCACAAATGCAGGTTGAAAGCCATATGTGAACATGATCCAGAAATTCCAGTCTGGGCCAAAGTTCATTCAAAATGAACTGAGAAAAAGGGGAAAACTGATCTGTGATCAGATGATTCAAGATTTTTGGAAAAAATGAACTCTGGACTAAAGAGGAGGGGGACCATCTGCCTTATTATCAGTGTTCAGTTCATAAGCCTGCATCTCCGACGGTGGATTTATGCCTATGGAATTGACAGTTTGCAGGTGTGGAAAGACAGCAGTGCTGAACGTTGTATACAGGCTTTAGAACAACATTTATATATATAATCCTGATGACGTCAAGACAACGCTAGACCGCATAGCACAGCTATTAAAACAGCATGACTTCATAACAGCAGAGTCCAGCTGCAGAATTGACCTGCACTTTCACCATTTGAAAACATTTAGTACGTCACGAAACAGAAAATGCACCAAAGCAGACTGACGATTGTCTTGAAATTCTTACATGTGTTGTGTGTTTGCATTTTGCTTCTTTGTTTCAAATCACTGTAAGTGTTTTTAATTACACTTTACATAGCATCCCAACATTTTCAGAATTGGGTTTGCAGTTTCTGGGATATGCAGGACCATTGTTTTTCAAAAATCCCTGAGAAACAACAATGTCTTGATGACACACAATTTTTCTTCATTCTTACCTTTCACAGTCAACCTTCCTAAAAATAATAAAGTAAAATAAAGTAACGTAAATAAAGTAAAATAATAAAACAGCTTTACAAAAAGTGATGCACTCTTACCCAATGGTTTTCTGTTCTTAGTCTTCATGTGGACTTCCTCAGCATCGTCTAGAACCAGATTCATGTACTCATCGAAACCCTAAGGCAATGAGACACAAGACAACAAAAGTGAGTCACATTGGTTTAACTAGAACTTGTACATGCCTGATCTCACAGAAAGTTCAGCCTGAGTGGAAATGCTACTCATAGATCAGGCCATTTCAAGTTAGACCAAATCATTTTAAGTAGGGCTGAACGATTATGGAAAATAATCTAATTGCGATTTTTTGCCCCAATATTGCGATTGCGATGCGAT